CTAGAATAGATTTAATAATAAATAGGAAACTTAATTCAAAACCAATCAAAAATATAAAGCTAATTGGGTTCATAATCTAACATTCCATAAAATCGAAATTAAAATAATAATAATAATAATAATAATACAAATATAAGTAATTTATAAATCAATAATAAGAATAATACTAATTCTTAATAAATAAAAAAGAATGAAAGTTAAAACAATTAAAAAAAAAAAAAATTCATTAAAGAAGATTAATAGAAGAAATTGAACCGAAATTCATCTATATTTTCATAAAATAATATATACTTTCCACCTAACTAAAACCTGAATTTAATTTTAATAGTAGAAAACCTTCTTAAAGACAAAAATTTATAAAAGTTTGAAATTGTAAAAAAAATCTTCTCAAATAAGGAAGTAAAAACTTTAAAAATAATTTTTTATCCAAAATATGAAAATAATAATAATATCATTAATATTTGTTTTAAATCAAAATAAAGTATAAATATAGATATAAATACATTTTTCGAATTAATTAAATATATTTAAATCTAAGACTCATTACCTACAACTACAAATATAAATTAAATTTCATCAATTCGTGAAATATTTAAATATTTCCTAATTCCTTATATCGGTGAATAAGATGGATAAATAAAAATATATCCAAGAGCATAAGGAATTCTCGAAGAAAATATAAACATTTTATTTTTAAACGAAAAATGTTAAATGAATATAATACATATAAATGGTACTTTTTTTCGTATTATAATATATGATTAAGAGACAAATTAAAAAAACGTTCGAATCGATTTGGAATATGATGAAGGTTCATTTAGTCATCTTTATGAAAGTGTATAAACAAATGATTTTTTATAAGAAATATCTAATGTGTGTATAGAAAGTGAAATTTCATCATAAGGTGCGGAGTTAGTACATAGAAAAATAGATAAAGAAATGCTTGAAAAAAGTAAAAAAAACACACCCTCATTTGCTCTATAAAGCATAAAAATAAAAACATAAAATACATTAATTGATAATTTGAAGAAATTAATAAATAAATATCAAAGCTTTATCATAAACACTTTTATTCTGCACAACTTTTAAGATTTTTTGAATTTAAAAGCCTTTTATAAAATACGTATATGGCAAGGACTTTTAAAAGGAGTAATAATAAGTTGCCAAGATGATGAAAAGTAAAAAATATTGAAACTTTTTTTATAAAATACATTCGATAGTTATGGATTTTAAGGTCTAAAAATATAAGAATAAGGCCAAGTTTATATAAAAGAAGAAGAAGTTTTTAATCTTTTTGGAGTTTCTTATTTTTAATTAGAAGAAGAAGATAAAAATATAATAAAAGCCTTAACTTCATATTTCTATACATTAAATACTACTGAAAAAAAATAAGATTCTTTAAATAAATAACCATCTAAAAATTAAAAAAACAATATTGTTAAAGTACCCATAGTTAATGGAGGACATTTCAGAATTTTAAGGAAAGTTCTTTCTTAAGAAAATCAAGATTATTTGTACCCTTTAAGTCTTGAATTAGTCGGGATTAAAGATATTTTCTTAGGAATCAAAGTCTTCTTATATAATACGATTAATGGTGTTGCTAAAGGAGCATTTTTAGTAGGAAATTATTTCTAATGGCTATTTAATAATGAAGTTTTGAGAAAAAAATAACATCATTTTTGTACTGATTAACTCCCTTTGTCAAATTATTTTATTACATAAATTTTCAAAAATATTGCTGTACCAATCATTTTATAAAAGGTTCATTTTGATGATAGTTAATCTATTATTAAAGTAAAATAATTTAAAGATAAATAATAAAGTATTTAAAGTATATTTGAGTTAGAAAACATTGTTAATTTGTAGAGTATTTAAGATTTTTTTGTAAAGATTAAGTGGGAAATTCGTGAATTTATTCTATTTTTCTTTCTTTTTTAAAAAATAAATAAATATATATTTATATATAAATATAATATATAATATTTGTATTTTTTCTTATTTTAAAATAAAAATTGTATTATTATTTTACAAACAAACATAAAAAAATATACAATTTTAAAAATGAATTTTTCAATAGAAGAAATAGAAAAATAAATAAGTTCTTATAAATTATAGTCAGATTAAGATAATGCCTAATAATTTTTTATTCAAGTATATATAAATCTATATATATGTAAATGCAACTAATAAAAAACAAAAGGATTACAGAAGAAATGATTATTATAGATTTATATTGTAAAACAATTAATTAATAATATCAAAATACTCAGATGAATTATGGTATCTTCCTTTATCTAATCTCTAAGATTTTATAAATAAAATTGACGAAATTTTGGAACCATATTAAGCAACTCATACATTTTTTTAATAGACAACAATCGAAAAAGCTGAAAAAGGTGATATTTAATCATTAAAGATTATATTGCATGATTTTTTTAACGATGAATTACGAAGGAGATAGCTTTTTGAATAATTAGGGATTCCTTAACCCTAAGAGAGAGAATGGCATGTATGAAAAAATATTTAATAAAATAAACAAATACATATATTAATATATAATATAATTTATATAAAATTATTTATCAAAATAATCACAACCTTATAAGAAATACTAAAATAAATAAGTTAGCTATAATAACTAACCATAAGCATGTTGTAGATGTTTATTTTAAAATATCATCTAATTTATCTTTTATTTATCCATTTAATTTTAATTTTTATCAGTAACTTAATTTATATTATCTAATATTTCATTATCTTCTCCGATCGCTTTATTATTGTTTTTCTATTTATCTAATATACTTTCTAATCCTTTGTTTAATTCATCTAACTTTTTCTCATCTTAAGCCGCTGTTTACACTCTTATCTCTTATAGTTCAAAATCTGTTTTTTAATTAAAATCATTCATTCTTGTATATTAATCATCTGATTTACCTTCAAAAAGCTATTATTTTATTATTATTATTTTTTTTTTTAATAATAATAATATACTTTATTCTCTCCAGAATATAGTTTTTTTTCCTATCTAGTTGCTTTAAATGCATTATCATAAGCATATTTATATTTAATTTGTAAATTTTATACTTAATTTTTTTTCTTTTCAGATTCTTGATAAGTTCTATTTATTTGGAAATTCAAAATATAGTTTTATTTTTTAAATTTACAATTTATATTATTTTGGATCTTATTAAAATAGAATTGATGCTTGGTTTAAAATTTCTAGTAAATTTTTAAAATCTTATAAAAGTTTTCTTAAATCATTATCAACCTATTTTTTTTTATTTTGTTTTTAGTTTTTATTTATTACTTTTGCAAGACTTTAGTTTTACTTTATTAAATTTTCTCTTTCCCTTATAGACATTTGTATTTTACTATCTATCTATTGTGTAATTTCTATGTCTTTCTCAAATTTTTATAAATCAGAATTTTAAATCATGTTTATTTTTATTTTATTCACTAAAAAAAAATATTTAATTATAATTTAATTTATTTTTATAAATAAAAAAGAAGAAATTAATCATTATCATTTATTTATAAAAAGAAAACTAAAAATATTTATAAATCAATAAAATAAAAATATAATAATATTAGTTGAATAATTTTGAATTATATATTTATTTACAAAATAAAACTTAAATTAATTAATATATTAATTATACAAAACTTTAATTAAAAGCAAAAAGTCTTTACTTTTTTTAATAAAATTAAATTTCCATTAAATAATTTTTTTAAAAAAACTAAGAATTTATATCATAATACTATAAAAAAGAAGGAAAATAATTAAAATTTATAAAGATAACGTCAAAATATTTATAATACCAAAATTAATTAAAATTTTAATTATATAAAATTAATTTAATGTTATAAAAAAACAGTATAAACTATTAAAAAAGGCTGTAAATATTTTGATACTCTCCACAATTTACAATCTATTAAAAATATTATTATATTTTAAATATAAATGCAAGAGATGAAAATTATTTGATATTACCTATTTTATATAAATCAGACTAAATGTATTAAGTGAAAATTTAGTTATAATAAAATAAAATCAAATTTATTTCTATCATTATTTAATTAATTATAAATAATTCATATAAATAATCTAAAAATTATTTAAAAAAATAAATGTTTTAAAACATGAAATAAAATATTTCAATAATTTTTAATAATTATATTTTATGATTTATGATTTATATTTATTATATTTTTTAGTTTTAATTATTTTTTAACTTATATTGTTTATAAATTATTACAAATACATTTTTATTTTATTAATCTAAAAATTAAATTGAATTAATATTATATTTTATTATTAATATATTATATTCTAATTTATAAATAATAATAATAAAAAGTATAATCTTGATAAATAAATTTTTTAATTTTTGATTAAAATATTATTTTTTTATATTAATAATTTTTTATGAATTAAGTTACTTTATTGCTGATTATTAAATAATCTTTATAATGAATATAAACATAAAATAATTTATTTGTTTAAACTAAAAATACATTTTTATTTAAGATTATATTTTAAAACTTTAATTTATAAATATTTTGAGTTAAAATAAAAAAATTAGATTAAATAATTTGGTAAATTTAAATTATTATAATATTTTTTTATTTTAAATCTAAACTTATCAATATCATCTGATTTCTTACAAATCATCTGTATAATATTTTTAAAAACCTTATTTTACTTTAGTTTTATAAAAAGAACCAGTCTCAACTCTTTATTTATATAAATATAAAATTTAAATAGATAAACCTATTCAAAAATATTATTTTAAATAATAAAGTATTTCAAGAAAAAAAGTAAGGCACCAGTTTATAACTTAAAAAAAATGTTAACTTACTTAAAATATAAATATAATATAATTTTTAGATAGAAAATAAAATATTTCTTCAAATAAAAAAAATATTTATATAGATAATATGAATAAATTTAATGTAATTATCTGTTTAAACTAAAAAAGTAATTAATAAAAAGACATTTTCAACTTATCATTTAACTCCCCTCATAGTTCTTTTAACTGCGTTTATAATATTTTAAACATTAGGTAAACTCATAGCTTCCAAATTAGGTGCATAAGGCATAGGGATATCTAGTCCAGTAATTCTTTCCAAAGGAGCATCTAAATAATTAAAAGCAGAAGATTCAAAAAGTAAACCAGCAATTTCACTACCGATTCCTGATTATGGCCATCCTTCTTCAACAGAAACAATTCTATGTGTTTTTTTTACAGAATCAACAATACTTTTTCTATCTAATGGTCTAAGTGTTCTTAAATTAATAACCTCAGCAGAAATACCATCTTTTTCTAAAATTTTAGCAGCATCTAAGCATAAGCCTACAGGCTTAGAATATGAGACAATAGTAACATCAGTTCCTTTTTAAAAACATAAATTATTATAAAAATAAAAAAAACCTTATCTCATAATTTTAGCTTTTCCAATAGGCAAAACAAAATCTTCACTTAAAACTTATTAAGAAACTTCAAAATTTTTTCCATACATGATTTCATTTTCTAAAAATACCACTGGATTAGGATCTCTTATTGCAGCCTTTTTTTTTTTTTAAAAAAAAATTAAATAAAAATAATCTTTTTTTACCTTTAATAATCCTTTACAATCTTCTGCATCGTATGGACTAATAACTATTAAACCAGGAATTTAAGAAAACCTTTAATTAGTAATATAAAAAATTATTAAAATGTAAATATATTTGCATTTTTATATCAATAAATACCAAGCACTAAAATCTTAAGAATGCTATGCTGCTACTGCTGATGCAGGCCCGTTTAATCCCCTGAAAACAATTTGTGTGCTTAAATCCCCATTACTCATGTATTTTAATTTCGCTGCCCCATTTATTATTTGATCAATAGCTTACATAGCAAAGTTCCATGTCATAAATTCAACTATTGGCTTTAATCCATGCATAGCAGCGCCTACACTAATTCCTGTAAATCCTTTATTTATTTATTTTAAAAATGTCAATTTGTTTAATATTTATTACCTATTTCAGATATTGGTGTATCCCATATTCTTTCTTTTCCAAATTTTTCAAATAATCCTTTAGTTACTTTATATGCCCCTTAATAGGTTCCTATTTCTTCACCTTTTTCGTTTTTAAATTTGATTATTTATTAATATTTTTTTTAATAATACCTATTATAAAACATTTTGAGTCTCTTTTTAATTCTTCTTCTAATGCTAAATTTAATGATTCTCTAATCGATATAGTTTTCATTGGTTATTTTCCATGAGTAAATTGTATTTTTGGATGATATGTATTTTGTATTTTAAATATTAATTGTTTATTCTAATTTATTTATAATAAAAATTAGTAATGTTTAATATTTATAGAAAATATATTTTAATAATATATCAATCATTTTTTTATTTTATTATACTTTTAAAAGCTATTTTGAACATAAAAATGCCTTCATTTTATATATTTATTTAACTTATTTTTTATAATAAATAATATATTTACTTTATATATTATATTTTGATATATTATTATTGTTTAAAACTATTTTTTTATTTATAAATTAATTTATATATATATTTTTAATTTATTAACAAAAAAATAAAGAATTTAAAAATATTA